CCTGTGTTTTAGCTTGGACTGAAGTGATCTATTGGTCGGAGTGAAGCACTCGTCACTACGTCTGTGTGTTTTTCTGTTTCAGGCGTAGCAGCAAATGCCAAAGTGGGTTCAGAGTTGATCAAGGTTGTAGCTCTGGACAATGACATTGGAAACAACAGTGTGGTGCAGTACCACATTGTTACAATACGATACTACCAGTCACAGAGCAATGACAGTGAGGATGTTGGCAGCATCTTTATTATTGGTACGTGTCATATATATAATGTACTGTTACATAGCTGCTATTTTTAAGTGTTTCATTTCATGTTCTATCAGAAACATAGACACTGAACTGTTTTTTTCTACTTTATTTGTATTGTTGACTGTCATCATCTGTGTCTTGACTCCCGCAGGTTTGACCGACGGCATGATCAGAACCTACGACCTTTTCACAGCCTACGATCCTGGCTACTTTTCACTGGAGATTTTGGCCTGCGATTATGCCGGACACTGCACAACCACCAACGTGAACATATACATTCTCCGCGATGACCAAAGAGTCAAGATCGTCTTTAATGATATTCCCGATTTTGTCCGTGAGAATCAGGAAGATTTCATCAACTTGCTGTCCAACATCACAGGAGCGACGGTCAACTTAGACGACATTCAAGTTTGTCGTTTTTTTTTTTATTATATCAATTGTGTTTACGTGTATGGCCACACAGCAATGTTAGGTTCAATGGCTGTTTCAAAATAATATGAACCTCATCAAGTATAAGTCGAAAGTGCAGTTTATGTTTATATACAATATATGCATATACAGTACATGACTTTTCCATTGCCGATATGCAGATAAACTGCTTGCTCATACACACACCTCATCTCAGCATCATTGACTAAGTATTGGCCACATTGGTTATTTTCTATTATAGTAAAAAGGAATTCAAACCATGAATTTTTGTACATTTGTACATTCTATTTTCTTTGTCTAACTCGTTTGTCTCACACGTTTCCTAGTTACATGTGGACAAGAAAGGCAGGGTGAATTATGCTCAGACTGACATGTTGATCCACGTGGTCAACAATCAGACCAACACTATTCTAGATGTCGAAAGGTATCTTTAAAGTACAGTGCAGAACATTATGACTCCTGAGTATTTGGCACGTCCGTTGTGGTGACCATTTTTTCACCTGGTGTTCCATTTCTGCAGAGTAATTCAGATGATCGACGAGAACAAGGAGCAGCTGAGAAACCTGTTCAGAACATACAACGTGGTGGATGTTCAGCCTGCCGTAGGTGATAAGCTACCTGATGACATCACCACACTACAGGTATGTAACGCTGTATGAGAACCCTACCGACATTTTGGGATTTTTGTAACTCGTCCTCTTTTTTTGTTTACTTTTGCAGCTGGTGATCATCATCCTAGCCGTGTTGCTGTGCTTGGCAGGAATTCTGTTTGTGACAATGAACTGGCATTACCGTAGAGTGTAAGTCATTTAGCATTTCTTATGGTCATCACTGAATCACTGCAGTCTGTTGATGGAAGCAGCAGCATTATGTCTTTGAACTCCTGCTTGACGTGTGACTCATGCTGTGTTCCAGACACCAGAGGAAACTCAAAGCCATTGTTGCAGGATCGACAGGTGATGAGTCAACGTCAGCTGTTAATGTAAAGATGGGCTTTTATCATGTGATGGTTAAATATGATTCTTTTTCTCTGCCACCTATAGGGAACCAGGGTCTGATGGACATCCTAGACATGCCCAACACTAACAAGTACTCTTTCGAGGGGTGAGAGAAATGACAGGAAACCCATAAAAGCTTGTTTAATGACCACACATTTCCTCATGTTTCTATTGATAATGTGTATTTGTGTCTGTAGAGCAAACCCAGTGTGGTTGGATCCATTCTGTCGCAACCTGGAGCTGGCCGCCCAGGCTGACCATGAAGATGACCTGCCGGAGAACCTGAGTGAGATAACTGACTTGTGGAACAGCCCAGCACGGACTCATGTCAGTACTAGGATAAAACTCTTATTACAAGCTACAAGTATTGTTACATTTCCAGTATTTTTTATATCAATATTTTCCTCCCAGGGAACATTTGGTCGAGAGCCTCAGGCCAAGCCAGAGGATGATAGCTACCTGCGGGCAGCCATTCAAGAGTATGACAACATTGCTAAACTTGGCCAAATCATGAGGGAGGGCCCCATCAAGGTAAGACTCATCTATTTGCTATCATCATTTGGAAACACACTGGGGGACAATGGTAGAAAACTGACCTCACCTCCAGTCAGTTTTGGTGAGAAGATAGAAAATGTCCAGATAATCAGATTCCTGCCGTCTGCTCTGTTTTATGACCACGGCTGAAGTGAGTTTTGTGGAGATGACAGACTGTGTTTAAACCTAACTGCTGTCCTGTCAGGGCTCCCTGCTGAAGGTGGTCCTGGATGATTACCTGAGGCTGAAAAAGCTCTTTGCAGCTCGGCTCGTCACTGTGTCCACCAGTCAGGGAGATCTCTCGTCAGTTACGGAGGTGGGCTCAGGAAAGGCGACGATTTATTTGCATCTGCCTCTCCTGTCTGGCAACGATGAAGAGTGAACTTGCATTCTTTGATTCCCTCTTTGGACGTTCTGTCAGCTGCTTTGGTGTGGGACCAGTCTGTGGGACTGAGTCTTTTCTCCACTCTATTTTCTTGATGCTTTTCGCAAATTTTTCCTGCATCCAATTTTTGGATCTTCTCCTTTCTAGTACTAGCTTATGTTTTCAGATTTCCTTTTCCGGAGTTTTCACCTACAAAGACTTTCAGACTGTTTAACTGTTGTTTCAACACGCAGCTTTATTTGTTCTCATTCTGACAATTCTTCTCTTTCTTCTTTTCTATCGTCCTAAAGCTCATCCAGAGCGACCTCGACGAAGATGAGGACGAACGGCTGGGTATGGGTGGTGGCCGCGGTACTTTGCGCTTTAAGCACAAACTTCCTGTGGAACTTAAGGGCCCTGAAGGTGTCCACGTGGTGCACGGCAGCACAGGTACCCTCCTGACGTCAGATCTCAGCAGCCTGCCGGAGGATGACCAGCGGGCTCTGGCACGTTCTCTGGAGGCACTGAATGCTGACAGGGGGCTTTACAGCGAGCGAAATGCCCGCACAGAATCCGCCAAGTCCACCCCGATGCACCGCCACAAGGACGGAGACACGATCTCGCAGAGTCCCCTGGAGATCACGGAGTTATGACTAGCCGAGGCCTCGCTGGTCTGAGCGCAGTCATGGCTTGTGTGTGTCCTTGTACCTCCACACGACCACCCAGGTGAGCGAGGGCGGTGGGAGGGGTGTATGTAGTCTAGGGTCAGCCAACCTCAGTGGACCAGTGAGTCCTCTGGTTGGAGAATTTGTTCTCAGTTGGTTGAATTGGATCTTGTGTTGAAGATGGTGCCTCAGGAGAGACAGCTTCCTTGATCTGCTTGGTGGACAAAATGGCCAGGACACTGATTTTAGTGAGGAAAAAAATCAACTGTTGACAAAAACTCTTATCCAAAGAGTAGAGCGGAAATAATTTAGGCACTCCCTGTGGGAGGAGCTCGAGCTCACCGTGACCTTAAAATTGGTACAAAGTTATACCTGGACTGCAAACACTGATGCAAATGCATACACACACTCAGACCAGCAGGTGGCCACTTTGGAAACAAAGAGCTAATGAGACATTTTCCTCCTCACATCCTTCATGTGTTCCATTCAGTGCTGAAGAAGTGATTCAGGATCAGACGACCATTCTGATATTAACGGTTTTAATATTCGTAAAATTATCGACTAATTTAATTCGAGCCGAAGCACATTGACTTATTTCCCAAGTGGCGTTTTTGCTGTGAATTTTTACACCTGGGGGAAAATGATTTCAGTTTTGTTGAATGATAACAGTACTGTATTTGTATGATGGAGAGAAAAACATTTCTGGAGTCCTGGTCAAACCTCTTCAAACATACTACACATAGACAGGACAACAGTGATCATACAGACTATAGGTGTTTTTTAAGCATGATCTCACAGGTTTGTGAGAGGAGGAAAAAAAGAAACCTCTAAATAATGGACTTTCCCTTTTGATTAATTTGATATTAAGCAGTGTTGGCAAAATCCTTGAAAACGTGTAAATAGAATTTACATAAATATGATTTATCCAGATTTTTTATACACATTAAGATGGCATCATGCCCAGAGACTTTCACTGCCACCCAAGGGAGTAAGAGTCATGCTCAAAATGAGCAGCATTTGCTTTATTTTTTTATTTTACAGAAAATGTGCTGGAATCTAAAGATATTTTTGAAGAAAAACGCAGGCTTACCAAAACAGGAAGCAAATAAAACTGGATGTTTGTAGTATATGTGCTGTATGTGTTGCTATGGTGACATACATTATGTCGTTCTATTTTTCATTTATGTGGCAAAGACATCATTTCTGATGAGTGGTGTGTTTTTAATTTTTATATTCTCATTTTTGTAAGTTTTTATTCTTTTGTTATCACCAGCTCTGAGGTCTTTGTTGGGAAATGTTGTTGGATGAAATGTGACAATAAAAGATTTATGCAACAATCTGTGGAGAACAATCTGCGTTCTCTGTGGAATGATGGAGAATCTGGTATTAATGTGCAGCAGATACAAAAGACGAGCCAAACATTAAAGCTGTAGGAATCTAAGAAACCTTAATGACCCGTGAAACTAAATATTTATCCCCTGGACAGTTACAATGACTTCCTCTGTTTGGACTTCTATTGTACTCACAGGTCCAATTTCAACAAACAATTCAAAACAGAGTGACCTTCAGTAGTAATGTGTCTTGTGCTGAGACTATAATATGGTTTGGCTGGACTTGGAAAAATAACATTAACCTTGCACGTTTACAAAACACTTTTTTATTATTTAGTTTTCAACTGTGTGTGGTTCCGCATCGTGAGGATTTAGCAAATGCTGCCACCTTGTGGTTGTGGAAGATTACGAGTGGAAGAAAAAAAAAAAAAAAAAGTCTTAGGCAAACAATTCCAGCTTTTATTTGTTACATAGAAAATGTTCAATAATTAAGTGGGATGCAGAGTCAGCTGTTACTGTTCACACTCCTCGACTTGCGGTGCTCCCTGATCCTCCAGTGGAGCCAGTGACACTCATCTTCTTCAGCGTCCTGTTCAACTGAAGGGAGAGAGAAGGTAAAACAATTATAACAATGTTAAGAAAATTAATTGCCAGGGTTTAACTGTCTGTTCTGATATTCTGTTTCAGGTCAACACTTACCTCCTCAAACTTGTGGATTTGTCTGATGAAAAAGTCTCCATATCGCCGAGCGACTTTAGTGTCAGCGATGTGGATCATGTCCTGTGGAGAGAAACATCGATGTTCTCTTATCTACTGTTTCACTGTGAGACTTCATGTCACCAGTTAACTGTCTGTGACAGAATCCTAAAGACAAATTAAGACTGAACCCACCTTGTCGATGTAAAAGTCAACCTCAGAAGCAGACTGGAACTCTCCATCCAGAGCTGAAATGCCACTGGTCCACACCAGGTTCTTCATTTTGTGCTTGAAGACCAGCAGTTGAATGCGGAACTCTTGCTCACTCATGTCCAGGAATCCTGCCAACTTGGCTACTGGCATGGTGGTGTAGAGCTTCAGGAAACTGAGACAGTTCACCGTGCATTAGTTGGACGGCCTGTTGTTGATTTGCACTCTTATTTTAATTACGATGTGTACATTTCAGTAGCGTGGTCTACCTGCGGATGGTGGAAAGCTGAGCTTGCTGCTGCACTTCCTCAGCAAAGACTTTCAGCTGCTGCTGGAAAGGTTCTTTGTGGTAGTTGGGGTGGACGTTGTCGTAGTTTGGGACGACGGGTGACAAGAACTTTGGACAGGCGAAGCTGAACAGCTCCTCAAACACCTGCAGGTCTCTAAGTGTGAAACAAGTTATTTCTTAAAATTAGGTGTGTAAGTCTTAAGAGTTTTCTGGCAGGCATTCCAGCAGTATATGATTTGGTTACAGAACAAATAGCTATGGGACTACTACTATACTTCTGTGTTTAATGCTTGGATCACTTGCACCGTCAGGATTTTTTGTGGATAAGAACATGCCAAATAAACATCACCCTTTACCTTAACTTTTCTGGCTTGCTGTACACAGTCCTCTGAATGTCATTGACACTTTAGGTTGGGTTTCTATTACCACAAACATGTGTCTCCTAAACAACGATGTTGTCACTTTAAACAATATAGCAGTAATACTAAATATAAATAAAATTAGACTTTCTGTGTAGTTAACACAGGCAGCTAAACATAAAGTGAGAAAAGCTCTTCTTTACCCCTTCTGCATTCGCAGCATCTTGTCTCCATACTTCTCCCTCAGCTGGGTGTGGATGCTCTCGTCAATGCGCATTGGATACATGGTTAAAGCGATGGCCAGCAGACCGTGCATCTGCTCATTTTGTTTATTGATCTACAAATTAAAATACAAGATAAATAATGTCATGCTTGAAACCTTGCAGTGGAGATATTTTGACAGTATATATACAGTATTAAGGTTATTATTTTTAGAGACAAATTCTACACATAAATGTTTCACAGACATTAATGGTGACAATTGTTTTTAAGCAGACAAACAGTGATGAATGAGCCCTGCTCTGACTGACCATTTCATATTTATATGTTGACCTCTGGAACATGTTTCTTGTTCTCTGGATGTAGAGCAGGATGTTGGCAAACACTCGAATGGAATCCTGGTAGCGCCTCATCATCAGGTAGGCAAAACCCACATAGTAGTACGTGGTGACCTGGCACTCGGGTACACGTGAGTACATACTCTGAGAAATGAAAAGCAGAATAAACAAATATTTAAATTATTCTGACTGATAAAACACATTTGTCTCTTAGTGCATTTGTAGCTCTAAAGAACATATTACCTTCTTGTTGAGTTCAATGTTCTCCAGCACTTTGATGGCCTGGTAATAATCCCCTAGTAGGGAGTGAAGCCTGAGGAGTCCAACCAAGCTGAAGTAACCCAACATCTTGTACAAGGAGTGACGTCCATATTCTCCAGCCACAGTCTCTGGGTCGCCTTTGACATGTGCAGCATACATTTAGTTTTTGAAACAAAGAGTGAGTAGACGAGCGCACTTGTTAAATATAAAAACACAGAAACCCCACCTCCACTGGTGTACACCTCAAGCTGACGGTTGATGTTGCTCTTGTCGACTAGTGAATGGAGAACATTAAGAACACTGTGAACATTCCAGATCTTTGGGTTATTCCTCAGGAATTCAATTTCCTCCTCCGTCTTCTTGGCCGTCTTACAGCGATACTGGCTGAAGGACTGGAACTAAATAGAATTATTTGTGTTAACAACATCTTAACAAACCTTCATGAGCTGTTGAGCAGGTTTCAACCATCACCTCTTTGTAACAATGGGAGCTTCAGCTACCAGTATGAGCCAATATAACTGACTGTACCTGATAGATGAACTCATCAATGATGTCCCAAAGCCACTGGTTTGGCAGCTCCAATGGGGCGGGGCCATCAGCATCTGTATACAAAGTAAAATAAACTTTTAGCTTACATTTTACCAACTACTTCACACTAATAACAAAAACACAGAATGTTATAACTTACTCAGAATATAGTTGAAGAGGTTGCAGTAATTGTAGTATGACTCAAATCTTTGCTCCAATGTTGGTCCCCCCTAATTTTTTAACAAAACGTGTTATAGATTCAGAAAAAAAAGGATGGACCACAAAATTAAGCTGACATGGAGAATTTACACTAAACAGTTACTTACGCTGACTTTGGCATAGATGTGCCTGTAGTACAGCTCCTTATAAAGGATCAGGAACACAGCATCTGTACACACAGAAATGTCTAAGTATTGTTGTCTATTATAATAACATATGCCAGTCAATTAAAACTATTCTCAACAGAGGTGAATAATACATTTTCCAGGTTTGTTTGCTTTGATTCTAAAAATGGCATATGTATAAATATAATGAAAAACAAATAGTACAGTTGCTACAAATATAAATAGTATATTTTCTCTACTCAATAATACATAAATGGACAATAAAAAGTAAAAACATTAGCAGGTAAACAAAACTACTAAGGAGAACTTATTGGTTAGAATTAATAAAAACAAAAGGTTTTGTGATGAAAGTGATATGGGGTTAACTTTACAAAAAGTATTATACACTGACCGCTGCCAACAAGTGATGCAATGGCTTCTGCTTCTGGCCATGGAGACGTCTTGAAGAAACGGTCAGTCAACTTGTTCCAACTACCAAGAGATAAATATATATATATATATAAATAAATATATTTATAAATATATTTATAAAATTTGTAATTGTATAAATATATTATAAAATTATATTTATAAAGTCATAACACTCTAAGCTAGAGTCCCAGTTAAACACGTTATCATCAGTGTGTAGGTTACCTGTTCTCATAAACATCCTGGATCTCATAGATCTTTTGCTCAATACTCTCACTGGAGACACGATTGGACTGCAGCTCATACACCTTCTGATCAATCAAATCTGAGATGGTTTTATGGAAATACTGCAGGAAGTTTTTGATGACCTCTGGAATGACATGGTAGGTCTGCTGCTCATACTGCCTCTCATAAGCCAGATCTGCCTTAGGATCACCTGCATCAAGAAGAATGGAGAGGAAGAGACAGTGCTGTGACTGTGCGGTGAGTACAAGGACACGTACGGTTTGCTTGTGTAAAGACCTTCAAAAACAGTTTGTGTGTCTTGTTTTACTGAGAATAAAACTGTAAACTCACCAGTGTGCAGGTCGTAGTCGTATGGGTCATACTGTGGAGAAAGAGAATGCATTTATCACAACGGAAATGTATACTTTAATAGATTAGTTCATTTTGCCTTCTATATTTGTGTATAATAGTAGCATATAGAATGTAAACTGGACACTTGACACGGGGGTAGTAGGATGTCATTACATCAGCTGTACAGTATTGTTAAAACTACATCATCGAGAGCAACCGTGGCTTTACAGCTAGCAATGCTACACTAAGCTAAGGCTAATAACGTATCTACGTTATAACACATAAACGCTGTTATATTATATAAACTTGAACATACAGTTGCAGTGGCCTCCTCCTCTTCGTGATACATTTTGTTTGCCGTTGTTAAAATTTTTATTTACTAAAACAAAAGCGACGATGTATTTATTCGGTTAGCTAACGCAGCTAAACCACGCAGCCGGCGTTGGAGTCCCCTGAAAACGGAAGGAAGATGTTATGACGTATAGCGGGAAAAGGAAAAAATAGCAATAAAGCATTATGGGAACTAGAGTCTTTACCCACCTACACACAACCCTCAACTTGAAAATGATTTACATGTAGTGGTGTTTCACTATGGAGGCTTTTATCACAGTTCTGGTGTAAAAACAAAAAAGGCAAACACAATGATAATAGCAATTCAAACTTTATTAAATAAATTAGATGCCTTAAGTTTCCACAGATGTATATATTATCAATAAGCTATGTGTGTGCAATAAGACTGCAAACACCTTAAGGATAGTCATATAGCCTGGACAAATTATTCTCAGAGATAACTTTATTATCCAAGAACATGAAAGAATGTTTTTTACGTTGACAAATTCAACTCTTCCTGATTTTATTTCCTGATTAAAATTTTGTGTTTTTGCAATTAAAAACCACTAAATGTTTAAGACATGCAATTTAAAAGAAATTAGCTTTTTTTTCCCTGAATAAACTGTGTTTAAAAAAGTTCATTTGTAGGTGATGTAATTAGAGGTATATATATCTAGTAAAAGTGAATTTACTTATTTAAAAATAGATAGCCCCAAAGATCAGGGTTAGGGTGACCAACCAGTATGATTGGATTGTTTTTTTAGTCGGATTTCTGTTTCTAACTGTTTCTTGTGTATATTTTATTTATTTAGCAACGTTTGGACTCTCCCGGTCATAGTTATTTCTTTAAGCCCATGTCGAATATACAGAATAATCTGTTGAATACTACTTGTACTTGTACTACTTGTATCCACCGTTAGGTGGCGTTATAACCGCAACACATCACTCCGGATGTGAGTTTAACCTCAAAAACTTTCAAAGTTATTAGATCGATGTCCAGATAAATGTATTTATTACATGCACAGCCGACTTTGACACTTTGAACTGTTTGAAAAAAATCATATCTTATTTAACCTATTTAGCTGTGTTTTCTTCTGTAGTTTCTGCACAGCGTTTTGATACAATGAGGCGGAGAGGGAATTGTGAAGGAGGTGGTGGGGGCGTGTGGTGGGTGTCATACAGCAGCAGTGTTTGAGCGCGCACTCCCGGTCTATAACACACTACAGTTACTTGTCTCATCCAAACTTCACTGCCGACACACCATCCTGACATCCTTCTCTGAAACAGCAGGGCTCGTGGTTGGATAGACTGAGAGGTGAAGAATACCTGAGGACTTCAGCACGCGTACCTGCAGCAACTGGACTCTCTCTGAACCAACCTACCAACATAAACCGACCTGGAAGCTGTCTGCTCCGACAAAGGATCAAACACACAAAACTAGGTGTTGAGGTGGATATCAGAACTTGGACTGGAAAAGAGAAGAAGAGACCTGGAGTGAGGGAGAAGGTCAGGGACACGGGGGGTAATCGTACTGCTAGAAATAAGCAGAGGGGCTGCCCAAACCAGGGAAACGAAGTGAAATAAACCAGCATCCCCTGCTCGAACACTTGCATTTTCACAAGAACTATTGAGGGATTAAGATATTTTAGTCTTTCTACGATAAGACTGGTTCGATTTGGTGACCCCTGGACACCAAGGGCTTAAACTTTGGCCGTGCGTAATTCGGAGAGTTTGCCTCTGCGCTGCGTCAGGATGCGCGTCAGTCCGCTCCTAGTTTTACTGTGCCTGCTCTGCGCAGGAGGCGCGCAGAGGTTCTCCGCTCTCACGGTAGGTACAGCTACAGTTCAGCTGCCCGAACACATCATTTTGAATGTAAGTTTATAAATGCATTATGTGTTTATGCATTTTGTGCGTAAAGATATATCGGAGAATGGCCAGTGTTTGTGCCATTCATGAGAGTTCTGGTTCCTTCCACACTGTATCTACGCTGACAAAGCAGCCACCTTCCCTGTGAAGAGATAACTCTTTTCATACCTGTCTGCATCACACCGACTTCTTCACCAAGTTCAGAAAGAAATGCACCCTTTTAGCCAATAAAGTAAACCATCAGGTCCCGGATCAAGTGCAGCTTCTATTATGAAGACATAATTGCAGAGAGAGGAATGTGCACTGTCAGAGTCTTCCCCACATTATTTACAGGCTAAAGTGACAACCACCTCTTCCAGTAGTGTTATTTATGATCTGGGTAAAGATGCTTTAATTTCCAACTGGAAACAAACGGCCATGAGTTGTTAACCTGCAGGTAAAGGGTCATAGATCTTTTCTCCCTGATGGCACTATGAAGTTGTGGAATGTGGGAGAAGTGTCTCTGTGAGCATTGCTGCACTACAAGGCTTACTTTTACAAGAACGTATGTGAGTGTGGTACATTGTGTTGGGGTCGTAATAATATTTACCCAGCAGCTCATACAGCTGTCGTTGTGCTTGGCTGAGACAGAATCCAGTATGTCGTAGAAATTACGACAAGGAGGAAAAACAATTCCGCACTGTGGTTTTTTTATACATTGTTTTATAGGAAAAGCACATGTAGTCCCACTATTTTCACAGATATTTGTGGGAGATTAATGGCCTATAGTTTAAATGATAGGATATTTTTAAGAGCTTGTAACCACGTCAGTTTTCAGTCAAACAGGCAGTAAAATAGATGTGATATTTGCCCAGATTATTCACAATGGAGTATGTCTGTAATTTATGGAAGTTATAGAAAAAGACAAGGGAATCAAACATAAGCTGCCTCTCATTCAAACCTGCTCTTCTATTTAAGTATAACATATGGGCTCTATTGGCCCTTGTGTTTTTATAAAACTGTGCACCTGCCCGAGTGGCCTTTCACACCGACTGTTTCCCCTTTTAACATCTTTCACAGCCATTAAACGGCTTTTCTTTGATTGAGTTAGTAGCCTGTTTAAAGGCTGTCACTTTCTTCCCTTTCCACCATGCTGGAAACTAATGATCCCCTTTGCATCCTATAGCATCCATGCAGGAAAACTCCTGCCAAGGCCATTTAACACATTTGCCGCAGCTCTCAGTTGGGGCCCCCATTGACCCTACGGGGCTGTGGTGTGAGGGGCCTCTTGGGGTGCTGGAAGTGGGCCTCCCAGCCCAGAAGACCCTTATCAACCTACAATGTGCTCTCTGCTGGAGGCTTGCCTCCTTCGTACTCCATTCAATCCCACAATGCAGTAGAGCCAAGAGGAGGTAATAGGATTTGATGTGTATGCTGGTTGGTTCTGGAAAAAAAAAGTTTCTTTGCACTCCACCCGTCTTGCCCTCCCTCACCCGTCTCTTATTCTTTTGCCAAACTCTTGTATTATTTGAGCAGATGCAAAAAGCATCTTCCAAGAGTGGTCACACAAAGAAAGGGGATATAATGAAAGGAAAGAGAGCAAAGTGAATAGAAAGAAACAGAGAGAATGGGAGAGGCAGCTGTCTTGAAGTAGAAAGAAAAGAGTTTAAGCAATAAATGGATTTGAGTCACAGTATGTGTTCAGTCTTGTTTGAATCTTTGAAATGAATGAGGGTGGAAGTTTGTTCTATGTCGATGAATCGAAGGTCACTCAGTGACTCTATACTGTGTTATTGAGCATTATGATGATGCTGCCTTAAAGAGGCTGGAATGAGACATCAGGGGAGTGTCAAGGCTCTCCCATGGCTTAGCCATATATCACCGCAGATGAATGCACAGAGAGCTCCGCAGCAAAGTACCATTAAAAGGAAGTGATTCTGTGAACATCATCATCTCTTTATGCTTACTGCTTTCACTAGTTTTCTAACCTTTTTAAATAATTTAGATGCAGTCAACTCTGCCTGACCATGCACTTGGGTGGCTGATTTCATGGGTGGTCAATTTCATAAAAAGACATTTAGAAATGTGTGTGTTTTTATGAGAGATTTGTCATCATCTTGCTGGTACTTGGCACTCTGTCTCATATATGTATTGTACCATGATGCTGAGCTGCATAATCGTTCTGTTTGAGTTGTCAATCTAGTGGCTGGCAAGAACTGGTTCTGATAATGCTCGTGGGGTGTAAGCACTTAGGGTGGCCAGTGTGGGCTGTGGTGCGGCTAGTGGTCGACTGTTAAGCTTGGCTAGACACATTAAGCCACCATAGAGTTTGTGAACTTGTGCACAACCATCCTCTAACCATCTTGTCTCATTTGCTGAATATTATGTTCGGGGGGTGAACCATGAGAGACACTGGAGAGGAGAGTGGGGGGGGATCAACACCGCTGAAAGATGCCCTTATTTTGGCATTTCTAGGGACAGGAAAGGAGTGAAAGGATGGAGCAAAACATGGGCTACATGTTTTACTTAGGTCACTTGGTTGGAATCAGTTCATTAGATCAAGATTTGAGGTTTGAGTTATGTCTATAAAAACAACGGCTGCCAAAAGATTACTCACGATTATTTGTGATTAATGGACATATAACAGAAGCACAAAGAGCAGCAGGTACATGTTTGTGTTGAACACCTGTTTGGATTTGTGACTAATCCAGATGATGATGAAAAGAAAAATATGTGATGTACGATAAGTAAGAATAACTAATGTAAATGATTGTGCTTCACAGAAATCATCATTACTGTGGAATGTGTTGCGAGTTGCAACATTCAAAACACTGGTGAAGCACTTGTCCTCAACATTTATCAGACTTTAGTCTCTCTCACAGTCCATTTGGCAGTTGTGTCCATCCTTCACTGCTCTGCACTCAGTGAGGCTGGTCTGATTCAAGCTGGGCGTCTGACCTGAAGTTGAAGCCTCCGTGAACCCATGCTGGGAGTTGAGATGATATTTTAAACCCAAGTGTAAATTAGAATATGTGTTTAGACTGCGTATTAGAGCAACAATATTCAGATCTTCATCTTGGACACTATTTATTAGAGCAACAACAAGTCAAAGCACAGTTGGAAGTATTAGAAATGCAGTGTGTCAATGAAGGTCAATGAAGGCCAAAGTAAAACTCGTAGCTATTTATCAGTCATTTTTATATGTAACAATTCAGTTTAAGGTGAAGTTTGCATAAAATTCCAACAGTGAAAACCTTAGAAGTCCTTGGAAAGAAGAGTTAGTGAAAAAAAAGACTCAATCCAAACATCTTCTTTTCTCTCCCTGCGGCTGCTCTCTCTATGTGTTTGAACGGGCCTCATCTATCTGATCCCCCTACCTGGATTTATGAGTAGAACTGACAGAGGGGGCTGTATCCACCCCCATCCAAGGGCAACACCTCCTTTCCTATCAGTCTTTTCCCAGGTGCATGTAGCCCTGAAGCCCTATTAGTCTGAAAGCTGAGGGCTGCCACCAAACCTAATCTCTCACTTCGGTTGTGGGATGTCAGACATAAAATTTCTGTTATTGCCAATGGCCCCGCCCACTTCCCCCCTGGATAGATGGCCTTTCTTCCTCTCTGCTTTGCCATGCCCATTCTTTTGATAGTGAAACTGACTCTTGTGCCTTATCCTAAAAGACAGGGTTTGGAATCTTTGCTTTGCGCTGAAAATTGAATGGGAAACCCACCATGTGTATGAGTATTAGTGTAGAACAGAAAGTTGTTCAGGTATATTTGAGCAGGGAAGTTATGAAAAAGATACAAAACAAAAGAACAAAAGAACAGCACTGAATACATGCAGTCTTTTTTTTTAAGTCTTTTATTATAAGAGAGGGAAAAACGTTCTGAAAGGTTCTCCTTTTTTTGGAAAAAGAGCACCTGCGTTGACAAAGTTCTCTTTTCTGAAAGCTCACACTGTAGCAGAATGAAGCCTATTGACATGAAGTTTATTCAGTCAGCCTATCATTCACAATTCCCTTAATTCATTGTTGCAGTCACAGCTTGTTGCCAGCCCGACACCACCGCTGCACAGCCTCATTGTGTGGCCTGGTGAGTAGATTTTTATACAATGGTGGTAGCTACAATGGTGGCATTGACACAGGTGATCCGATGCTTTCAGCCAGAAGTCTTTTTTTTCATGGCTAAAACATCCTGAGGAGGGACTCCAGGTGAATACCTGTGCAGGTGTTGGCACAGACAAAGACATGATGAAATGTCACTCAAGCTCCATCCACTAAGACGAACCGTGGCTGCAGCCTGACAGGCCTGTAGTAGCAGGGGCTCTTTGTTGTAAGGCTGTAATGTATTATAAGCATCACAAACATGGTTTAAAACTGAGATAAGTGTGTATAGTTTTGGAAGTTTACTTAGTTTATTAAATGAATAACCTCTTGTTATATTAAACCATGCATATACCAAATCCAGTCCGGATGGATGAGCCAGATTTCAGAATAGATGCAAAAGACATTTTTGTCATTGGAAACTTTTATTTGTCAACACAATTTTTATCACAATTTCGAATTAACCCCTTTTATTCACTTAAACATCTATCTCTGCCAGTATGGATGGATTGTAGTTTACTTAACTTTCTTAATTTTAAAGAGCCGTGACATTGTACACTAAATATGGTGAAAATGTTATGGTACTGGCCGTTGTTGCATTAGAATCAGCCACGTGACTGTTAGACCTCTTACTTGACTTTGCTGCTGCATCAAAAAAACACTTCACTGTAATATGCACAGAAGAGCCGTAGATCAGTGTCAAAGAGAAACACCATTCAGTTCTGTGTGCTGGTGTTCACCTGGATCCACAGACAATGGAAACATATTCTGTGGTTTCTGTCTGTTTATGGGAAAACAGATGTTGGATTCTACATGCCAGAGATGAAAAAGACCATCCAGACTGTTATCACCAAAGCAGCAAAGACAGTATCTGTCATGGAATGGGGTTTCTTTAGTCATGTGGGATCTGCATATGACGGTAAACGTCGGGCATCATTCTGCACAAAAGAATGGGTTTGTACCATGTGACCAGGGTCCTTGACTGGGCTGTCCATGTGTGTCTTCTACTGAAATGGTCTGGTGCCTCAGAGGAGATTCAGTGACCACTGACCGAAGAATTCAAATGCAGAATTCTTAGTTTATTTGAAGAAAAAAAGGGCATTAGAATAAGGCACAATAGGCCCCAGTAGTAAACCGTCCTTTGTCCCAAAGTAAGTATTCTCTTAAATAATAAAAACAAACACCATAAGTATTTATTTTGCTGTTTAACCCAATCATGGATTTTAATTTTTTATTTCTATTATTATTTTTCAAACAAGATCAAGTTTTGATGTATTTCTATTTTTTCTGTTTTTAGAATTTATGGTTTTGTTCAAGAATGGTTTGCTTGCATTTTATTGAGCTGCAGTTGTTTTAGTAAATATTGTAAAATGTTTTTTATGCTAATGTGATTTCATTCTAAGTTAATTGATGTGAAGGGGACCAGTTTGTCCCCTCTTATTTATGCAGCATTCTCTCCGGCTCTTGAGGAAGATGACACCAGTTGTCCTGCAGCTCTTTTCTCCCTAAAACCTCAGCATAATGACACCTGTTGTCAAAGATTAAGATGTTGTGGTGCAGAGTTTACTGGTTTACTGAAAACAGCTCATTTAGTAAATGTTGTCTGTGCTCATCAACCCCTCCACCCCCTCACCCCCCATTCAGTTCCTGCGGGTGGACCAGGATAAGGAGTGCAACATGGAATGCAGCGGAGCTCCTCGCAAACCTCTGTGTGCCTCTGATGGCAGGACTTTCACATCTCGCTGCGAGTTCCAACGGGCCAAGTGTCGTGACCCCCAGCTAGAGGTCATCCGAGGGCCATGCAAAGGTTAGGTCACGAGTCACACTTCAGCGCCGCCTGACGCTCCTGAATGTGAAGACAAGGTCCAAGTAGCACCTTGTGGGTTTAATTATTTTAGCATAATTGATTTTCTGAGTGCTGGGCAGACAAGTGGGGTTGACACACTGAGAGTGGGTGGGGGTGGGGCTTACTTCTGCATGGCAGGTTTCATCATTTCACTTTCACACAATTTGTACTAATCAAGGAATCATACATTGATATGTCAAACTGAGTCAGTATGCAGAGAAGGGAGCATTCATGAAATAAGTTGACAAGAATTGATGGTCTCCTTTCAAATATAGATGTGAAGCTGTGCACACATAGAACAAGAGGAAATTAGAGTTAGAAAGCATCAGGGTGAAGCAGAGCCGCTGAGGTCAGGCAGCTTCCAGAGTCCCACATTGTTACCATGGAAAGAAAAGGCCCCGACACCCTGATGCTTCAGCCATGATTCCTCTCAGCCCGCCCTCCTCCCCGTCTCTTTACTAGTTTGCTGCTATACAGACTGGGGACAATGCATCATTCTGACATATTAAAGCATCAGAATCTCTGATTCACGGACTCCGAGCAAAAGAGTTTGCTCAAAAAGAAGTCTCATATGTTGAAAAAGAACTTCCACAATTTTATACCCATGCTGTGTTTCTATGGGAACGTCTCTAAGCGGACATCTGGATATGGCCGACAGCAGCGGGGAACAGAATAGAGGATTCCCACCAGGACGCTGAAAGAGACAAGAGTCTATGTATGCGTTAATAACCGAGTGTGTATAGGGGTTTGGACCCCCTTCCACTTGTGGATAGCCGGGTGAAAGACGCAGCAGCATAAGTGCCGATAAAGAACCCCAGATTAACTAAAAAGTCAGAACTGTCTTTTAAGCACAGAGATGGGGATTGTGTAAAGATGCTATGCCTGGCACCACATTTGTTTTCTATCAGACGATTCAAGTCATCTGTCATTTTTTCCAGTCAGCTTTTTTTGGTAGGAGACCCCTGGAGAAGGATGATGGTTTTGGGTTTTTCCACTGAAGCTAACTTTAGCCCCATTCACTTTGCTGTTATGCCCTGTCCGGAACACCCAGCATCTTTCCCTTTCTCTTCTCTCCCATGACAGTGACACACACACACACCAGACGGGGAAAAAACATGACTCACTGATTTAATGGGATTTCAACCTGCCTGCTTGATGAGCACTTTGTTTCAGTTATTGGGTCACAATGGGTTACCATTAAACCAGCTGCTGTTCAATAACTCTTGACAGTTTACACAGCTGGTACTGTTAGTCAGGTGAGGCAGCTGTGGAATGATAGACTGAGCTGTCTTTGACAGGGGGACGTGAAAAGGATTAAGTGACTAGAGTGGAAGTCCCATTGAAAACCATTTCCCATTCATGGGAGAGTAAATGGAAAAAATTCCATTGGACACTTCATTGTTGATCTCTAATTTAGATCAATAGTGACAGTTTAGGCTCAACTGAGAAATGTCTAGGCTTAGGAGGACGCTTGGACGCACTCTGAGACATTGAGGAAGGGTCAAGTTTTCCTTGTGCATCAGCCCTTTTCTTAGGTGCCTGGAATGTCCTACAGTAGCAGCACGAGCTGCTTCACTCAGTAATGGCTTTACCATCAGGCGCTGTGGAGGCTTGCCTGACCTATTCCTAATAAGACCAGTGCTGTTGGTTCTATTCCCAGCCACACGAGTATCTGCTGCTGCTGAAATGTCTTGAAATATTTCCTTTCTGACTCTCCACACGTTTTGCTTTCATTCTTCATCATCTGTGAGATTCAACATCCTCCGCTGACTTTTTAAGGGTCGGTTTCATAGTTGTGCTGCATAAGAAAATAGTTGAGCTGTGGGTTGAATCATGGGTTTCTGTGATGTGTAGCGATTGTAGTGATTTGTGGTGTTCCTCAGATACGTCCAGATGTGTAGCAGAGAAGAAGTACACAGAGCAGCAGGCCAAGAAGGTCTTCCCACAGGTCTTTGTGCCTGTCTGTAATCCCGATGGTACATACAGTGAGGTAAAAACAACTTTTAATTTTTATTTGATTATACAGTATTTTTGTTATTATTTTGTGCAGATTTATGTAAAACCTGGAATGTTAAGAAATTGTTTGTTTCTATTATAAATCAGGCGAAATCGAGCTAAATTTGTATTAATTAATACAGCATTTCTCCTGAAACCAGCAGTCGTCTAGTGTTCTTCTGGTGCTTCAGTTAGCGCCCCAGTTAGCGACATCATTTTTCCTTCACGCGGTCCATGGTTAACACACTATTATGATTGCAGATTCAGTGCCACAGCTACACTGGATACTGCTGGTGTGTCACACCTAACGGCAGACCCATCAGTGGCTCAGCAGTGGCCAATAAAAAACCACGATGTCAAGGTAGGTACAAAAATAAAATCAACCCTCAATTCACTTTACAATGGTAAAACTGTAACGAGTCCACAGTTCACTGCACGAGTACAGACAATTCATTTTTCAATAAAGCCCCGTGTTTGACATTTTAAATGGCCAATTTGTAGTCAGCTGTGGTTTCTGTAACTTTATGAGGCAATGATGATACATTCAATTCCGTACCACAAAGCATGACAGTCTGTGTGTGTGTGTGTGTGTGTGTGTGTGAGTGTTTGAGGGGGGTGTACTTTTAAGTCCTGTGGGAAAATGGTAGGAGCTGGACTGAGGGCCACAGGGTAGGACTACTGAGAATTGCTCAAGGCACAAAGCCCAAGTGTAAATAAACCAAGGAGAAAATCCTTGCTCCATAGTTGAGCAACAAAACAAACTGTAAGCATTGTATTCTGTGTTCTTACAGTATGGCGTCTGCCAAACAATCAATAACCAATGCCACATGTCGCCCCGTGCTTCTCAAATGCAGTCTAGAAAGCTGTGTTGAATGAGCCTTTATGGCTTCATGTGTTACATCCCCATTCATACACAGTAAGAGACAAAAAAAGTTCATTTTTCCAACAGTTGTTTTTCACTCTCTTGTGCTTGTTTGTTGTTGTGGCACAGAGCAAGTCAGACAAAGATTTACTGTATCATTTATTTTTATCTCAACACATGAAAACCTTTTGAAGTGGTGTTTTTTTTTTTCTTTTTCTTTCTTTCTTTTTTTTAAATAATTTGAACATGTTTCTTGTCAGGGTCAAAACAAGAGAGAGCGACAACCAGAGAGCCAGGTAAAGCAGGTGAGACTGCAATATAAGGAGGTTGTTGTTGTTGAGCCTTTATTAATATGTGCATGTGTGTGTCCATGTTAATTCATGTGCATGTGTGTACCATTCTATTCATGCATGTACATGTTGGTGTGCATTTGATTCTCTGTCTGCCTTCTGTGTCAGAATGTAGCAGGCGCGTCTCCTGTTACGGCTTGTCTTCCTAATATTTTATCAGTGTGAGGCTGATTTAAAAAAAGAAAAATGATTCTTATTGAGAAACATGTCTAAAGAAAAAGATTGTGGTGAGTTTTAAACCCACACAGCTAGAAGCGTCAGTGCCTGTAACTGCTGTTGTCCTTACCAGGCAGCCAAACATCCTGGAGGCAGCCACAGTGGAGCAACACTGACACATCACAAACTCTGATCTAACTTTACCTCCTTTTGTGTTCATTCTTTTTCAGCACTGCTGTCCAAAATATCCTGGGAAATATT